GCAATGTACTCTTCCAACCTACCCACTTCCTAAACAACAACCACCCATCCACACACCCGTGGGTGGTTCGTTAGTGCTCTGGTGTGGTTTGCTCCTTCTTTCCTCAAACATCTATCGTCCATAAATCCTCTCCCCCCACCTCCTTTTTGTGTTTGTTACTCTCTTGTTACACCTCTAATCTTCGGCACTTATACATGACCTAATTGTGCTGCAAGTGCTGTAAAACTCGTACTAAAATCCTCACACCCACTTATTAATCAATCAACGTTTAAAAGACCATAGAACGTCCTCCCTTTTGAATAGGTGCGTGTGGCGTCCAGAAAAAAGAAGAAATATTCCTTAATCGGAGGAGAGGGTTTTGGCTCTCGTTTAAAAAAAATTCCAAAGCCGTTTCCACCCTTAGCCCTAACGAAAATGCCAATCTTTGAGCCATGTGTGTACTCTGTCAGTCCCCGTCTTGTAGGCGAGCTGTCAACACTCCAGGGGCTTCGTTCATCTGGACTTACTTAGATTCTTAAGCAGAGTGTACGCTTGTCATATTCTAATGAACGATCGAACCTGCTCCAACGGCTTCCTCCTATCCAAGACAGTCACCTGTACAAACGACCCCCCACTTACCCATTGCGTAAAAAACAAGAACTATAATGGCACTCTCTAAGACGCTTACCCGTCCAAGTGGCTTGAACAGTTTTGTCTGTATTTCTTTACTGGAAAAGATGGCTATTCGGAGCGGAATTTTAGAACGGATCACTGCACTCACTGTGGCAGGCTAGACTTGCAGAGATATGGTACACGTTGTATAACCAGTTGGTTCCCACCGCAAAAGTAGCGTCGGTAGTGTAATGGTTGGGTTAATGGTCATGAGATGGTCATTTTATTTTTTCGTGAAAGAGTCGTATACACCTCTATATTTGTTATTTAATATCAAACACATTGTGTGTTGTTTTGACGAATTTCATATGAGAAGGTAGGGGTCAAACCAAGGAATAATGAAAACAAAAGAGAAACCAAGGGATGAGAATCCTGGTCCCATAAAGAACTCCATACCAGTCGGTTTCTCCGCTTTGCACTAATCGCGCAGAGATCCGATGTGTCGAACAAATGTACACCCACATTAAGCATCCCCGAGGGTCTCCCGCGTGACGTCAGATTGCAATTAGGTTTTACGGCTAAAGATGGACTTTATTTCTGTCTCCAGTCGCTGTTTCTTCAGCTTTAGCTTTCTCGCTTTATCTCATCCACTTTGGATTTTCTTTCCTTCTTTCTTCCTTTCTTTCTTTCTTTCTTTCCCTCTCTCG